ATTCGCGACGACAAATATTTTTTTTTCAACTTTCATGCCACTTGTTTTTCCAGCTTTTTTACGTCATTCATTCATTAAATTTTATATGCACACGTCTTATGAACATAAATATCAAAATTTTATAAAAATGTATGGGTTTGTGAACTTGTTATTCAGAATTTAAAAAATTTATGTTCGCCGTTGTTCTAACATTTTTCCTTCTGCCTCTGGCATTTGCAGCCAATGCGGATATCGAAGAATGTGTTAAACTTGTTGGAAATGCTCAAAATATTCTTAGGAGACGACCAACTGTGGATTGTGGTTCAGAGGATCCAGTTTGTCCATCAATATTTGTTTACGACAATAATGATGAAGATCTAGCAAACAATTTTAATGTGTATGTATTTTTTAGCCCTTACATTCCAAGTACTTCTGAATGATCAAAAAATGACGCGATGAAAGAGAAGATTCACATATTCCTTCGTCAGGTCGACTCTTAACTGGGACAAAATCGAATTTGAAAGTGCTTGGGTAGTTCCCTATTTGCATTTTCAGACCATAATAATCTATAAGAGACGAATACCATTGTAATATTCGAAGCGCCCTATCAGCAATCTGTTATAGGAATGAACATTATAAGATTCCCAAACTGTGCAATAAGATTAAGGATTTCCCAGAAAAAATATGCCCAAAAACCTCTGCGATGTGTTGTAAATCGAAGGAATTTAACTTTCACGATGATCAGCAGTTTTCTTTTATTTTTAACTTCAAAGAGAGCGAATCATGGAAGTTGGAATTGTTTCCTTCCAGTCAGCCCCGATGTATGCCAAAAAATGGGTCGAAATATTTGTATAACTTCACCTAGTATCGCTTTATCGATATGCCCATTTACATGTGGTCTTTGCAATAGACCAGGTGCTAGCTGAATATGTCCCTATAAGAGCGATAATTGTGCAGCTATTTTCCGTTTGGATCCTATACGGATCTACGGATTTCATGAACAGATCTTGCAATAAGACGTGTGGACTTAGAGATTGCTTACCAGGTTGATTTTCAATATTTTTGCCATAAATTCCAGTGTTAGAGCTAAAATCCTTCATTTTTTTCGATTTTTAATATTTTCAGTTAACGACTACTCATGACAATTTATGCACATATTTAAAAATCTAACTATGGTCTTTTGCATTCCAGGTAATTCAACTTCAACTTCGCCGTCAACGTGTATTGATTTACACCCTCAGTGTCGAGAAAATTCCAGGTATTGCAACATCGGCGACTATGCAGTTATAATGAGCAGACTTAGCAGATTAATTTGTCAGCACTATACTCCCTAGAATCATTTTTCTAATAATTCTATCTTATTATCCTATTTTGGAATCAAATCAAAATAAAAAATATATTTTTTCGTATCCATATTCGCAAAGTGAATTATTTAGTTCAATATCAACTTATCATAAAAGCTATGAAAAAAATTTAACGAAACATCTCCCATCGGTTCTGCTTTTAATATGAAATTATTTCTAAAGCTCTATTGGCTTTAAGTAGAAATCTTTAAAGGAAAATTTTGCTCAACAGTATAATAGTTCTCCCTAA